ACAGGCCCTTCTTATGTTCTTATATGGAGGGTGTGTGCTCAGGCCTCTGAGGACATTCCAGGGACAGAGGTCAACAGGGTTGATTTGGCCCCTGCGGTTGAAAAGTGCCATGAAGTCTCTGGATTGGCCAGGCCTGGTATAAATATTTCTGGTATAAATACTAGATATTTTCAGCCACTGGCCTGAGGCACCCTGAGCTGAAGACCCTCCAGGTTTAGATTCAGATATGGCAGTCTCCTTATGTGGATAGCGTCATTATCCCTAGTCCCTAGGGGGCGTTGGACTTTAGTTGTATCTAGATGGAGTTAGAAATGTGCTGTTGCTGCTCTGATCTTGATCAAGAGATAGAATAACATTCTTGTTCAGCCTCCTGAGATGGGCCACAGGAGTTTGTCAGTCCTTTGCCAGCACCTTTAGGGATTTAGGGCTTTGCAAGCAGTGCACTCACACTGGGCGCTGACCTAAGGGGGTGCCATCTCAAAGCCCAGTAAGTGAGGTGCTCAGCTTTGGGAAGGAAGCGTGAGGCTCTGACGGGGTCCCAGAGTCTTCCCTTCTCCTTCCCAAAGCCTAGTTAGCACTTCCCCAGCTTTGGGGAGGATGTGGGTGGAATATAGGACACTGCCAGAGCCTCATGCCTCCTTCCCAAAGCCAAGTGTCTCCTTACCTGCAAATTTGGGGGCAAATTTTGGCCTCACACGAGATGCAATAGAATCCTAAGAGTTGGAATGTCATCTAGTCCAACCCCCTGCAATGCAGGAATCTCAGCTAAAGCATCCATGACAGATAGCCATCCAACCTCTACTTAAAAACCTCGAGTGAAGGAGAGATTGCAACCTCTCAAGGGAGTCTGTTCCACTGTCAAGCAGCTCTTACTGTCAGAAAGTTCTTCCTGATGTTTAGTCGGAATCGCCTTTCTGGCACGTTGAAGCCTTTGATTCAAGTCCAATCCTGAGAGGAGGCCTACAAAGGGTCTACTTGTTGCTGGGAGCAATGTGAGACATGATGGAAGGTGGCCTGTGAAGCAACAGAGCTGAACTAAAGCCATCCTTGCAGTGGACCAGATCCAATAAGTAGCTTAGGTCCTAACGGAATTATTCCGTCAAAAACAGGTTGCTCCAAATCCCTTCTAATTCTTCCCAGCAATAACTTAAGCTTTGCAACGTTTTGCTAGAATCTCACAGCAGCCAGGGAAAGAAATGTTTCTCCTCTTTCTCTTCTCCTGACCATACAAGGGAAATGGATGAGATCATTGGGTTTTGTATAGTCTGAAGCAATGGCAGTTTCTTCATATTTACTCAAAGAGGGTTGTAAATCAACAATGGAGTGCTGTATCTCTAAGTTATTTGCGGAGGGACGGGGGAGAGAGACATCAGTCTTTCATCCCAGCACGTTAGATGAGATTAGCACTGTTCTTTATTATATTTGTGTTCCCCCCCTTCTGAATCTTGATTGCTTTTTTTGCTTAGAGTTTGTTTGTGCATAATGCCCCATTGTTGGCTGTGGGATTCTCATATCAGACAAATTGTAACTTCTGAATCCAGGGGAGTTTTTAAAAAATACAGCAATAATATTATTTCCCTCCCTCTCAACTAGAGCCTCCAACCATCACTGATCTCTACATATAAGCCTTGCTAACTTGGTGCCCTCCAGAAGCTTTGGGCGACAACTCCCATCATCCCCAGCCAGGATGCTATGCTTGCTGTGAATGATGGGAATTGTAGTCCAAAACTTATGGAAGACTCCAGGTTGGTGAAGACTGCATTGTATCGAGATACGGATGCAGCTGCCGCTATTCCCTGCTTGTGAGCATCCCCTAGCACCAGTGCTTGGCATCCTTGGGCAGCTGCTTAGGGACCCACAACTAGGGCTGGGCAGTATCTGGGTTTCAACATTGTGATGGAGCTATGTAGAAGCATTGGCTAGCTTCATGGTTTTTCCTGCATCCTGATTTTTTTCTGGCCCCTGCAGAGTTAACAGGGGCTGAAGGAATTGAGAGAGGCATTGGGTAGTGTTATAAGAATTTAATGTCTCAAATATATAAATTAAATGTACAAGGCAAACACGTGCATAAATACATCTCTGAAACAGTATAGGAAAACAGTCCTGAAACCATTTTGACTCTCCCAAACTGACCAAATGTTTCTCTGCAAGGAGAGAGGAAATGAAAAAAAAACCTCCCCATTCTCTCTGTGCTCACAAATCCTGCCTTAAGGGCACATTTAAGGTGTGAATAGGGTGAGCCTGTGACCTGTGACCTGGATTCAGGAATTAAGTAGTTATAATAACAAAAGAGTGGCCAAAACCCAGATAATGCAATCAGGTAACTTTCCAGACAGGAGATAAACAACACACTCAGTATTCTGTTTTGGACAGTTCCCTGTGATGTATATATGTATGATGTATTGGGGTGGTCTAGAGTTTGAGGGTGGGCAATTTAAAAAGTCTATCTAAGGGCGGGCACACCTTTGTTCTGGGTCCTCCTCCTTTCTCCTGCGTGTGGGGTGAGCACCCTGTTGCAACAGCTTTAATAAAGATCAGGCTTACTAGCTGCTTTGCTTCTCAATATTCTCTGGTTGGCTCTGTTATTTTTCTCCGACAGATGGAGAACCTACAAAGGACTCTATAAGGGCTCTTGTGTACCCTATAAGGGGAAAAGGGCAGATTTTGTTTCCAACAGTAGCTTCATGGCTTTTCCCATATTGTGATTTTTGCATAGCACATACACATACACACACACCATGATTCGCAATATATTGCCAGGTCAAAAATTATGAAACCGATACCACCATAGGCAACAACCTATCGAAAAGCCTGAAATATACATTAAGCTGTTGGAATGTTGCAGCCGGTGAAAAGACGTATGATGCAGTTAAAGACACACCCTTTCCCTTCTTGTCCCCTACTTCATTCCTTCACATATCCCCCACCCCCACCGTCCTCCCTCCCTGCTTTCCTTCTCTGTTTTCCCCCAACCCTCCTTTCCCTTTGTCTCCAACCATTCGCTGTCAGGAAGTGCCGCATCCGAAGGGCTATTTCAGGACAACGTGGCAGCAGCAGAGACTAGCAGCAATGGCAGCTACAACAGTGAGTGGATCTCAACTCCAGTGGGGGGCAGTTGCTTGACTGAGAACCTGGTCACTGGGGCGGGGCAGGATAACCATGCTATAAATCACCCATGCTGTAGATTAGGTGCCTGGGTAGACTGCAATCTCTTGTCTAGAGGTCCCTCTGCAATCTGCTAATTTGCTCCTATTAAAAAAGAAATACCGGTATATGTCAGCAACATTCACAATATACATTTAAAGCACTGTGATGCCACATTAAGCAGTCATGGCTTCCCCCAAAGAATTCTGGGAGCTGTAGTTTGTTAAGAGTGCTGAGAGTTGATAGGAGAGCCCCTATTCCCCTCCCACAGCTACAGTTCTCAGAGTGGTCCAACAATCAATCCCTCTTTTCACAGAAAGCTGGGGATCATAGTGTGTTAAATCTAGGTGCTTTAAATGTATGGTGTGAATGAATATGGCCTCCATCTCCTCTCCTATGTCTCGTTACTCAAACTAAAGGGCTCCAGCCAGTGATCTAGATGCTGATATTTCGAAGCTATTCCTCATCTTGGTGGCTCCCCTCCACAGGAGCCGATTCCTAGGGGCCAAGGGGGCTTTGCCCCCCATAAAATATTTGAGGGGGGCAGGCCTCCTCCTCCTTGATGAGCATTGCCATTCAAATGGTGTGTCATGTGATCAATTATGCAGTGCAGGGCTTACCTTCCCCCCAATATTTTATTCAATTTCCCCCCCCACTCCCCTCTGTGCCCCTTTGCCGCCGCCTTCCTAATTCCTTGGAACCCCATCCTTTTACAATGCTCCCTTCTTTGTGCTGGGCTGCTGCCTTCTCGAGACCCCCAGCTCCTGGTTATCCAGCTCCCCCAACCCCCAACCCCACTGCTTCTGCTCCTTCCTTCCTCTGTGCATCAACCTGACCTGCCTTTTCTCTGAGATGAGAGCCGCTCAATCGTTCTGTGCCTTGGGGTGGGGAATTATCCCCCCTCCCAAAAGAGGACAAAAGATCTGCATAAAATTTGCATGTTCCGATTCCTATGTATAGATGCAAATTTAGAAGCTATTACTATAATTTAAATAGAAGTGCCATAGATATCAGCATAATGAGAAGACTGTCATCAGGGGACCTGTTGCATCCGCTGTCTCACTGTTGACAGGCATCTTCAAGGCCTCCTCTGCTCTCCTTTCTTAAGATGCTTTAGCTTTAAGCCAGGCTTTGGACTGAGCAGCCCTTCACCCAGAGGACTCTTTCAAGCAGAGGAGTGTTCTCTCTGTAACGTAGCACACCTGGTCACCCTATTATATGGCCCACCTTTCTCTCACATTGACTCAGCTCCTCTAATTGCTGCTGGGAGTTTCATCTCTTGGATGAAGGACCACATAGCTCAGTGGCTGATCACATGCTTAGCATGCAGTAAGCCCCAGCTCCAGTCCTCAACATCTCCTATTGCCGATATTATTATTGCGCAGTTTGAAGCAACTGGATGAATGAGAACTGACTTTTGGAATGAATCATTGCCCACACCAATGAAAATGTTCCTTTTTTACCAAGCCTTTGGTTGATTTGATTGACATCCTATGTTCTTTTTAAAAATGTGGTGGGGTTTTTTTGGGGGGTGGAGTTATTGAGTTGTTGTTTTTATTTTTGATCTTGTATTTTGTGGTTTTATATTTTGATTTTATTCTGTGAAACTCCCTGAGACTTCTTCTGGGTATAGGGTGGTATCATCATCATCAAACTTTTACTTGTAGAACTCTTCAAAACAAAACATAAACATAAAACTATACATCCAAAAATATCCATACAATATCTTGTGTTGTCCAAAAAGCCAGAGTTCCATATCACAACAGCTACTGCAGTATGAAAGGAGCATTAGAAGATGAGACAGAAATAGCATTATAATCAGGAAAACTAATGCAATACTCCTCACGTGTGAATCTGCCTAGCTCAGTTGGTTAGTTAGAGCATGGTGCTGATAACACCAGGGTTGCAGGTTCAATTCCCATATGGAACAGCTACATATTCCTGCACTGCAGGGAGTTGGACTAGATCAGGGGTAGGCAACCTAAGGTCCGGGGGCTGCATGCAGCCCAATTGCCTTCGCAATCTGGCCCGTGGACGGTCCAGGAATCAATGTGTTTTTAGATGACTAGAATGTGTCCTTTTATTTAAAATGCATTTCTGGGATATTTGTGGTGCATAGGAATTCGTTCATCCCCCACCCCCCAATATAGTCTGGCCCACCACATGGTCTGAGGGACGATGGACCGGCCCACGGCTGAAAAACGTTGCTGACCCCTGGACTAGATGATCCTTAGGGTCCCTTCCAACTCTACAATTATATGATATGCATCTTCAGTGTTGCCCTTTCAGAATTCAGAATTCAACAGGGAGGAGGATGGGGACAAAACTACAGCTGATTGGCTCTGGCTGCCATTGGCTCTGGCTCCACCTATCGTTAGTCTGCCTACCAATCCTGAAGGGCACCAGCCACTGCTGTTCCTACCCAAATCAGTCATGATCCTGCAATTCAATTCATTGTCTTTTCCAACCCAGCAAATGTACCACCTCCTGTTGCAAAAACACAGTGAACTTTCTCCTTTCTCCTGGTATAAGGTCTGCTCATTTATTAATGCTCCATGATATATATATATATATATATAGACTGATCTCCCCGCTCTCTCTTACATTGTAATGTCATTCTAGTAGCTGTCCTTTTTCACCAAACAGCCACCTCCTAGCTGTTAACCTTCTTCTCCTTCTCCACTTTCTTTCGTTTTTTTTTATTAAAAAACTGATTTCCCACCCCCAGTCTATAAAATATGCTGATTAAAAAATTCCCTTAGTACATCTTGTATCATTTAATAATATAGCAATTAAATAATGTTAACACACTGGGATGATAGCAATTAAAGGAGTGAAGCTGCTACGGGGGAGGATGAGAAAGAATTCTCCATGCTGCTTTATCTAGAGGGTGAATCACGGAAACCACGCAGTCATGATCTCAAAAGCAGACATCCCAAGCTTTCGAAAGCCCACCCTTACTTGGAAGCAAATGCCACTTCACATATGAGTAAGACACACAGTGTACATAAGAATCATCAACTAGGGCACCCTACAGGGTGGTCTTAATGCAGCTTCCAAGCTCTTCTTATCTACCCCCAGCTTAGACACCCAGTCCAGGGACAATCCTCCTTTCATTCGGAAGCGGTCTTCCACTGAGTCAGACCACTGGTCCACCTAGCTCAGTATTATCTAAATTGACCGACAGCAGCTTTCCATTGACTCAGGTAGAGGGCACTACCAGGAGATACTGGGGTTCTAAACTTAAGACTTCCTACATCCAAAGCAGATGTACTACCTATGGCCCCTGCATAACTCTTTAAAGGTCAGGATCTCTGGCCTTCCTAGTTGCCACATGTCTCTTAAAATATATATATATGCACTGCACTAGGGGCATCGCACACCTAACATACGAACCTAGAAAGCTGCCTTCTTATGTCAAGCAATTGGCCCATTTAGTCCAGTGTGATAGTCCCCAGGTATCTAGGGCTGCTTCCTAGTCCGGCTATCTAAGACCTCTTTTCCCCCCTTGCAACCAGAGATTGAATATGAGGCCTTTTGCTTGCAAAACATGTACCGTACTCACTGGGATTTCCCTAGCATCATCTTTCTCTCTTATGAGGTAAGGTGCAAGCAATGGAACCAGAGAGGGGTGAATATATCAATTTCAGTTTTTCTCTGTTTCTTGTTTTTCCAGCCTTCAGTTCCCTACATTTCCACACCAGTTTGCATTTTTTTTAAAAAGGAAAAAAAGACTAGACCAATGAAAATTAATCCACATTCTTGTGCAAATTTCTCCTCGTGTACACATTTTTGCAATGCAATTTTCTGTGATAGAATGCATTTTTTGTTTTATTTTCACTAATGTATGCATTGGTGCACACCCTTTAGTTATATGTATTTTTGTACATCTCACGTAGATGGAAAACTGCATTGCAATGTTCAGAGAGGTGCAAATTTCAAAGGATGGCTGAGCTTCAGTTTCCATATTGTTTTGAAAAGTGCAAGTGCGGCAAACTTGCCTTTAAAGGTGAACTGAATTGAAATTCTCCTTCATCCCTGATGAGAGACCACTCCTTCCCAGAACACAACAGAGGCTTTGACAGAGTCCTTTGCTTAATGTACCTCTCAGTTGCTCCCACATATGCAAAGAGTTTTTTAAAAAATAAAAGCGCAGAACACAAAACAAGCCTGCTGCATCATAAAAAGAGCCTGGATCAGGCCAATGGCCCATGTAAACCAACTTCCTGCTCTCACAGTGGCCAGCCAGAGGTCTGTGGGAAACCCACAAGCAGGACCCAAGCACAAGAGCACTTTGACCACATTCAAATTCTCAGCAACTGGCAGTGGATGCTTCTGACAGTGGATATACATAGTACATAGCTATCATGACTCTGCTCTCCACTGTTTCTCAAAGCTCTGTTGGAATTTCCTCCTTATGTGTACTTGGGGCGGACACTTTTGTTTTTCTTAATTTTCAGTTTCTGTCAATTTATTTTTTGTTCCAAACCTAAATTCAATTCAACTCCACAATCCTGAATTCAGCTTACTTCCGCACAAGGTACGCAACTGCAGGCTTCTTTAAGAAGTCTGCATGAAAATTTGCCCACATTTTTGTGTACATACCTCTTCATGTCCAATTTTTGCAAGTGCTTTTATATGTTACATTATTTATTGCACACATTTTCTGTGGACACTTTTCAATAATGTAGGAAGATACACATTTGCTGTTGTTATTAGAGAAATGCTTCACAAAGTGGGTGTATCTTAGGTGGCGCTATGGTCTAAACCAGGCATCCTCAAACTCGGCCCTCCAGATGTTTTTAAGACTACAATTCCCATCATCCCTGACCACTGGTCCTGCTAGCTAGGGATCATGGGAGTTGTAAGCCAAAAACATCTGGAGGGCCAAGTTTGGCCACCACTGCTCTTGGGCTTGCCAATTGGAAGGTCGGCAGTTTGATGAGGTGAGCTCCCGTTGCTCTGTCCCTGCTCCTGCCAACCTAGCAGTTCAAAAGCATACCAGCGTGAGTAGATAAATAGGTACCACTGTGGCAGGGAGGTAAACAGTGTTTCCGTGTGCTCTGGCACTCATCACACTCTACCATGCTGCCTGCTTGTCTGTGGACAAATGCTGGCTCCCTCAGCCTGAAAAGTGAGATGAGCGCCAAACCCCATAGACTGGACTTAACCATCCAGGGGTCATTTATTTTTTAGCTTTTTACATGTAAAGTCCCTTTAAAGCACATGACTTTTCCCCAAGAATGCTGGGAACTGTAGTTTTTTTAGGGGTGCTATGAACTGTAGTTCTGTGAAGGGTAAGCGACAGTTCCCAATGTTCTTTGGGCTATAAAACGTGCTTTAAATATGCATTAAATATGTTGTGTGTACACAGCCTTATCAGTATGCCTGTTATCATGTTAGGGTTGACTGAACCGCTAATCAATGGCAATTCTTCTCATTACCTGATTATTCAGCATTTGCTTTCATGGTGTGGCTAACTGGGTTGCTGTATCATTCAGTCCAGTCATTAAATAATCATATCCACTTTTTTATTCTTCTTTTTAAGATGAGTTGTAAAATTATGCTTTATCAAACATCCATTACTTAGCTGTCCTGTAAATCGCTACCATCAACAAGACAGTAATTTTAAAGTCAGGAGAGCATCTTGACAGTTCTATTAGTGGATATTGACAATTCCACACACATATGCCCCATGAAAAACTCAGGTATCCTACGTTTCTATCAATACCCGATAAAGGCATCAGCGTCTCTCAAGCCATTCCCCAAATACCTTCCCCCATCCCTCCCAAAGGAACACATGAAGTAACACAGCACAAAATAAGTCTTCTGGTATCTTAAAGACTAACAAATTTATTATGGCATAGGGTTTCGTAGACTCCAAATCATACACAGACAAAAAGCATTATGCCTTCCTTGATAAACAGTAATAAAATACCTCTGAGAATGTGCATGTTCATATTTTAAACTCACTTAACCCACCATTATTTTCGCTCACTTTGCACCTTTGACCACTTACCAACTCTCAGTCTAACATACCTTCCATGGCTCTTGTGAAGATATAGAAAATAGTATAGAAATAGCTGCAAAAGGGGACTTACCATAGTGCTTGTGTTACAGATATCAAATTTTAGTTCCTTTAACCTGAGCAAATGTACAGAGATTCCACACAGTGGTGGAGGAAGAGGATTGTGGGGGGAGCATACTGCCCCTGGCAGCACAATCCTGGTGGGGTGCCATTGTGGTTGTCCCCCACCTGCGCTGGGCGCCAAGCCCTGCAGGTGGCGTGCTACGCCCCCAGACATGCCACGCCCCCAGACAACATGCCACGCCCCTGTGGGCGGTGCACCACACCTCCAGGATGCCCACTACACCCCTGTGGGTGGCACACCATGTCCCTGGAACGTGCACCAGCTCCGCCCCCACCTGCTCTCCACCCCCTGGTGCCAGAGCATGAAGCTCGCCGCTGATTCCACAGACAATAACATGTGATAGAAAAAGCACTACAAGTAAAATAGAAGCTCTTTAGGACTCTGGGATTTCGACCCTGGTGTTGAAACAGCTCACCTGCCAGTCATAGCCCTGACTTCGCTCACAGTGGCTTAGCACAAACACTGCAAGGCAGGGACAATAAGGCTGGCTCATCTGCCTGCCTGTTTCGTTTATAATTTTTGTAACAGGAGACTTTTTACTAAAAAAAGAGAAAAAAAATCAGAGTCTAGGCCCCCTTGCAGCCATGGACCCTGGTGCAAGCAAATTATTATAAATTTGGCTCAAGCTGGTATAGAGGTAACTGGGGTGTTATAGTCGTGGTGGTGAATGTACATTGAGCTGAGTTAAAAACTGGATTTTTATTTTATTTTTCAAATGAGACATGGTAGATATTTGGCCTGTTAACTTGGCACTCATACATATAAAAATGAGATGCAG